CGCTCAAGCTCAGTTGGTGCCAACGGACTGCACGACGACGCCATGCTGGTCATTGACTACAAAATAAAAGAACAACACCTCATTTTACTGACACTGATTGTTATCACACTGAATTTGTTTAGCGGAGTCATACACAACATCATATGTCTTTATTTAATTCGCTCTAAGTAATTAATCAAAGCTTGTCCTGATATGCACTCGGGACAATTTGACTTTATATTCTTGTTACACCACAGTACTCAGAAATGCACGCTAAGTTATAAGCAAAGTATCAGGTACTCGTAAGTTTTTGAGAATCTCACTAGTTCTCCACATGTAAAAGATCTGAGGCAACGGTAAGATTGAATTTTCTTCGGTGAAAGTCTACCTGACCTTAAGAGCTAAGTACAACATTTGTACTCACCTGCAGTCGTAAGTTATTAAGGACTTGGCCACATGCGAGTTAATCAAACCACAGTCAAGATTAAGTTGTAATGTACTCACTCACCTTATAACACTACACATCATTGTATAAACAGTGCGTAATAAAGTCTTGATTCAGAACTATCTACAATGATCACAGATCTTTCTAGCTGCGTCAAGTGATTACCACATAAATCGTGCCGTTGATCCATCCACCCAGATGAAAGGACGATACAGGAAGATGTACAATGTCGACGCATTAACAACCATATACGCAGCAGTCACAAGCCATAGATGGAAACCAGATTGCTACAATATCAAATGACAGGTCAGTTAATCTTTTCATGTCTAGACCAGGCACACGCATCACTAACATTTCTCGTGTTTAAGTGAAAGAGGACAAATGGCAGGCAGTAGTATCGCGGTCTACAAGTTTCGTAAGAATCGGATGTATAAAGTTGAGAGAAATGTACTACGTACTCGACGAGTGGTGATGGAAGAAGGACCAAACATACAGCAAGTACGTAAATAAACTTCCATAATGGCGAGCATCTTGGATCTGAAGTTTCACATATTGTTAATAAGTCAATCGGGCACTATGATAAATGTTCATACTCAATTCATCCCAACAACGCCAGCCGAAGAATAGATACAGCGGAATCGGAAAAAATTTTGCCATCTCGTGTCTTCGAAAAAACTTTCGCCAAATGTAAAAGGTGTAATGCCGATTATCGGCTAACATGAACTTATGGATAGGGCTAAAGCAATGGATGACCCCTACGATCACTGCAACCAGGATTCCGATAGAAATAATCCCTTGGAATGACGTTGCTCTGTGCTGGACTGACGTGAGAAATTTCTGGAGCTGGCTAGGAGTGGTAAGGTTGAGGCCGAAACCGGATGCTACCGCGACGGTGAAGTATAATAATTGAGCGCCATGAAATGTCACCTCGTGATTTGATTTGTCACCTGCATCAAAGAGCAATGAGTCGATTTTGCAATATTGCGTTTGCTGCGTGGTTGTACTCACCCACCACGATGCCACCGTTTTTGACAAGAAATGCCAAAAAGCAGAGTACAATCACAGCAAATGGCCATACGACAAAAAGAATGGAGGGAAGAGTGGAAATGATGACGCTGATGAAGTTGAAAATCACTCGAAAAGGGCTTGTGCATGTACAAAATCAGTCGTTATTTATAAAAGGCCAAAACATCCGTGTCTTACCTATGCATGACCGATGATAATCTCTTGTCGCTAGAATCCTGCTTCGAGGATCTAGAAATCGTACCAACAGTGTCAAATAGTGACTGTTTATACGTATGAGACGTAAGAAACTGACCCGTAAATGAATTTTGAGTGAGCAAGCTCCACACTGCGAACCACGACTGTACCGGCCACAAAAACAACCCAAATGATATTTGTCTGGCGGAATAGTACCGATACTGCTCCACTCTACAATACGCACGACTTTTCTAAGTCAAAGTGTTTGACCATACAACTCAATCTTAACACACCATTGCACTCAGCATGAAACTTCCTCTAACGGGTGAACACTGCAGCAAATCCACTCTTTCTGCTAGTACCACCATTAACAGCACAAAGAATGTGGCTCCTGCGTCGGTGTAGAACAGAAATGAGAAGAAAAACAGCGGTGGAAATGCTGCAATACGCAGAGCGTGGAGAAGCACATTGGGGTCTAACGGCGACACAAGTTTTCTCAGTAGCACGCACAACACAACGTTTCCCAATGCAAACACGACATTAAGACTACGGAGGACCGATACAGAGCAAAAATCACCCAACTGAAGAGTCCAAATTGCTTTTGCATACAAAGTGGACACCAAATAGAGACCTGGAAACGTTGTGATCTTCGGATCCCATTCATCTAGCAGTAGACGACAATTCAGTCAGCAGGACGCGACGGATGCAATAGCTTTGAGACATCATGAAGCACACCAAATCGTCCTGCGCAATATTTTTGGGCTTGAGGAATATGAAAGATTTCATCCTGTTGTTGGAGAAGACGTAGAAATTAGCGCTGATTTCAGGTGCTTAAGCAAATGCTTCTATAACCATATAAGCATCTGGTACAGTTTTGTTTACTGCAGACAGTATAGAGGAGTACAGCAAGCCTATGACAACCATGACGAGAAGTACAGGGGCAGAATGGGGCAAGGACGCAGCACTGGAGCTTGCCGACGCTTTCATTGCTTGATTGGCACGTATTTTATGTAAAATACCCAACACAGATAATCCTTTTTAATTCAGCGGATTGGACAAAATCCTAACGTGACACAAAACAAAAAGTCTTAATCAAGCAAGAGAGGTGGTGTAACGGGGTTACACATTCTCTGGGGTTAGAGAATGAAATACAGAATATGATGTGACCACACAATAGTGTGGCTACACCTTAACAAGAAGTCAGTACGTGGCTGGACTGCCAAAATTTATGCATTTTGGATAGTTAATTAGAAAAACTTATAGATTTAAATATGGACGGCTTTGCCGCAGATAAATAGTTTTCAGTTTGAATGAAAGAGTTTGTTTGCCTTGGGATAAGGTTGTGATAAAATTAAAGTAAGCGTATTGCGAACCGCTACACTGGTACTGGTTCTCGTATAGAACGTAAGGTTATCGACTGGCCCTGAGGGCGTCGCTTCGCAAGGACCTAAAGCGATTAGCGCGCGGCTTAAGAATTTTCGAACTCTGAACTTGCTTTTCTAAAGCACCTAGAGCAGATTATGTCGGCGTTGACTGCGTCCATGACGCAACCGTCGACGACGGATGACTCCTCCCGATCCAGGCCGCTCATGATGAACGTTAAGACCTTCGAAGGTAAGGATGGAGAGAATCTCCTTCTCTGGGTGAGAGAGGCCGAGATGGCTATGGCGTCCGCCATGCTCCAGATCGAGCATCAGCGCGTAGCACTAGCTATCTCCAAGCTTGGTGGGTGAGCGCGAGAACGGACTTTGACGTGCGCTACTTCGGTGGAAGAGCTTTTTTCTCCTGGACGGAGCTGCAGCTTTTACGAGTGTTCTCACCGCCTAACTAGGCATATCTCATGCGATCGCGTTTCTTTGCCACCCGAAAGGGCAAGAAAAAATTAGTGGACTTTGTCCAAGAGTTGCGTACTCTCATTGCCGATATGGCAGCCAATCCTCTTCCCGAGGCGATCACAGTGACCGTATTTATGGAGAGCATACGCATTGGCGTGCCCGGAATGAAAGTCATATTAATTTCTTGACTCTCTTTACTTCTACATCTTTTTCCGTGTACATCCGCCTTCTTTGGAAGAAGCAATGAATGTGGTATTGAATGCCAATTTTAACTTTAAGAATTGGTTGAAAAAAAACTTCTAGCAGCTTATCGAGCGGGCCTAAGCCCATAGATCTCAGCTATGCTGAGAAAGTGGAGGCATAGCTCCGAGCTGCGGGGCAGCTTTGGTGACGGTTGTCTCCACAGAGAACCGTCACCTTCGGACAGTTTGTCCCCTGCACAAGGCGCGTCATGGTTCACCGAACCGACGTCCCGCTTCTCACCAGTCCTATGGTTTGTCGCCGGGGGACGACAACACCCAGTAGGGCACCCGCACCTTCTGGGGAAGAACTGAGCTCTGTTGAGCCTTAAGGAGGAAGAAGTGCTCCGTGCTCTTGAAAATGGAACGTGTATGCAAGCTGGACTTGCTGGTCGTGACCGATCGTGAAGGGCTTTGGGAAGCCATGTAAGATCCTAATCGACCCCGGGCTGTCGGGCAATTATGCTCGACATTCCACGATAGAAGGAAGTCAGCTGTGTGCTGAGGCACTGAACGCACAATTGAGCGACATCGTCACTATTCGCTTAGCGACGGGGAAATGTGTCACAGTGCCGCGGATCCCTGTGGGCCTTGGTGTCAAGTCTTTTAACTTTGATAGCGTGAAGCGCTGCTTAGTCTTAGACGTGGACTCAAGCTATGGCCTCATCCTTGGTATGGCATGGTTGGAACACCATGAACCATGGATCGATTGGAGGTCGAAGACCTTGGACGCTACGCGCAAGTCTCCTGGTGGGGCTTTGATGAGTCATGAACCCACTTCTGCTAGGAAGTAGAAGCGCTATTGACGCGGGCACTGGACCGGGACGGCGAATGTGCTGGATATCGGAGCATCCGAGCTGTCAAACATTAAAGGTGTTTTGGACAAGTATCCCGAGCGTTGCTCGAGGGCTGAACGTGGAGTGGTAGGTAGCCCACTGAGCGCTACTCAAGTATTGGAGCGGTCGCTGCATGCCAAGCGTGGCATGGTCGGCTAAGGGCCGAGGCATCAAGGGCGAGGCCCCAGTGATACACGCGGAGTGGTACATAACCCACTGATCATAGCTCAGGTATCAAAGCAGTTGCTGCATACCAATAGTGGCAAGGTCGGACGAGGTCCTTGTGATGTGCGTGGAGTGGTACGTAATCCACTGAACACTGTGCACATTTCGAAGCAGTTGCTGCATGCCAAGAGTGGCATGGTCGAATGAGGTCGAAGGCATCTTAGGCAAGGCCATTTTGATATGCGTGAAGTGGCACATCATCCACTGGACGAAAACTGCGGAACTAGCAGCTCTTCGGCGGGGGTTGTTAGCAACATCAACGCTCCGATGGAGCAGGGAGTGGGGAAACTGGACGACGCTGAGTGCATGTTCCCACTGGTCTCACCGATACGTAAAACATCAATAGAGAAGAGACGGCGAGGTCCATAATATCTGCAAGACGCAGGGCGTCGATCCTGACCCAGGGGAGATGATGGCGCGCAGCTATACACCCGCTTAAGGGGTATGACGGGGGAGAAAGACGGCGACGTCATTCTTGAGACTATTCCCGCAGTGAATGCTCTTCTTGAGATGGACGAGATGTCCTCGGAGAGTTGGGCGGTGCTTGAAGGCAGGCGATTTAGCCGAAGTGGTCATTATACGACCGAACGAGAAAATTAACTCGTCGTCGCTTCTGGATGATGCTGTCCTAGAGGACGCCAAAAGAGTGCTGAACGCACGAAGTGGATCGTCGATCCTAAAGGATCCCTCGAATCTGTACTACCTTTTGGTAAAGGACTTTCAAGACGTCGTCTCCAAAGATCCGCCGTCGGTCCAACCTCCGGACCGACGTGTGCGTCACGAGATTGACCTGGGTCTGGGAGCCAAAAAATGCGTAACACGCCAACGTTCCCTGCCCAAGGAGCAGCGCGACGTCTTTGACGCCTTTTTTCCTTTGCAAAGTACGACGCAGGAATGGTGCGTGAGAGTAAGTCATCCCATTCGACACCCACGTTATGTGTCCGAAGCCGTACAGCAAGTGGCATATCGCTCACGCTAAAAATAAGCTAAACACCAAGACGCCTATGAGAACTTTAAGTGGCATGCTCTGAAAGTGGCTGATGATGCCTTAAGGGCGGTCAAATACACCAGCAACATTTTATCGTCTTGTAACACAGTTGTTCAGAATTCACCGGGCGCGTGCACAAGCATACTTCGACGACATCTTTGTTCAAAGTCGTGCGGGGTACGGGAGGACAGATGAGAATACAACATCGTCCATTTGAGAGCGGTCCTCGAGTGCATGCGCACAAATAAGCTGGTTGCTAATGCAGATAAGTGTATCTTCGGCGCTGAAGAACTCCCCTTTCTAGAGTGCTTCATTGGGTAGCGTAGCCTTCGGATCCCACTGAGGGCAAGGCTATTGTGGATTGGCCGGTTTCATAGAACCAACTAGACTTGCACAAGTGTCTTGGATTCACCAGCAACTTGCACACGTATAGCGCGAATTATGCGGAAATGGCACGGCCGTTGTCAAATTTCCTTTGGAACTCCTTTCTTCCCTTCAAATGGCCGGTGTTTTGCCAGCTTAAGCTGCGGAGAAGAACACCTAGTCCACGACAAGGATTTACTTGTGATGGAGTATGCACTTGTCAGGTTTAGAGTGCACCTGCTTGTTTCAAGCTGTTTGTGATCTACACAGATCATGCGTCACTATGCACTGCGACTTAGTCGCCTCACCTCCCGCAGAGAATGGTCAGATGGCTCTCCTTCTTCGCAGAGTATAAATTCCAGGTGAAGTATAATTGAAAAAATCAGAATGCTTCGTCCGATGCGTTGTCACGCAGATCAGATTATGAGTTTGCTTATGTCACGACGGTGACGTCGTCAGTGACGGATTTGATTCGCGCCGCATGCGCGGGTGATGGTATGTGTGTAGCGCTGCAACAGGCCCTCGGGAGCGATGAGAGCCGGACAAGATATTGTCAGCGCGATTGCGCGCACGGCTACACCGATATTTGCTGCATAACGGTTTGCTGTATTATAGCACCGTTTCAACGGATACGTCAATAATTGTGGTTCCTCACGATGAGGATTTGAAATATCATATCCTCTATGAGTACCACGACACCCTACTCAGTGGTCATCTCTGTCGTGAGAGGACGTATAGCTCGGTGAGTGACCACAATTGGCGGCTTAAGCTGTACAAATAGACGAGCACATATGAGCGCACATATGAGACGCGTCAGAGAGTGAAACCCTCTCCGAATGCGGCGGCCCTGCTGACCAATTTATCGGTACCCTCCGGGTGTTATCGGTCCATAAGTATGGACTCTGTATCTGGCCTGTTGAGGGACTAGGCGAGTAACACGGGTGTAGTGGTCTTTGTGGACCGTTTGAGCGCGGTGTCTCATCTTGCGGCAGTGCTAGAAACTATCGACGGTTTGGGTACAGCAATGCTGTTTGTCGAACGTATCTTTCGACAAAATGGACTCCCGGGATCAATTATCTCTGAAGGAGACCCACGCTTTACTGGGAAGTTTTGCTTTAAATTTTAGTGTGCTAGGCACTTCGTAGACTGTGTCAATAGCGGAACATCCGCAGACCGATGGTCAAACTTAGCGCGAGACTTGCGTAGTTGAAGACGTTCTTCGCAGCGTCTGCGCTGAGACGCCAAAGCGCTGAAGCGCTATGCTGCCACTCACAGAGTTGCTCTGAACAATGCAGTGCATGCGTGTACCGGCTACACGCCGTTTTACGTGAACGGGTTCGTTCATCCTCGCGTCCCGCCGACGCCGCCATCGCATGGCTCAGGGCTTGGTGGGGGAGGGATAGCCGAGCGGCTAGCTGAGTCGAAGACTTCCTGTCTACCAGACTGAGTTTCTTACGACACGTTCGCGATGCGATGACTGAAAGCCAAGACATGTAGAATGAATATGCTGACGGAATAAGCAGAAAAAATGTTGAAAACTTTGAGGTCGATAACCTAGTTTAACTAAGTAAAAAACTTCATACACATGCAGTTTCTGCTGTCTTTAAGACGAAGCATCGTCTACGGTATATCCGACCTTTTAAGGTCGTGGCCATGCAAGGCCTAGCGTATAGGCTGAACCTTCTTAGAAGGATGCGCACCCACCCGGTGTTTTATGTGGGCTTGCCTAAGCCGTACAATGATTTGGCGCAAGTGAACGCGAAAGCGTTGGCGCCGAGGCGGCGCCAACAGGCACTTGACCACCCAAAAGCTGAACCAGCAACTGGTATTAAGAACGGAGTGCAACGACTCCATCTCCAAGGTACAAGGCGCTCCACCGTCGCACGAAGTGACGTATTCGTCTGCTCGACGGCTGTGATCTGCTCCAACAGAGCGCGATAGTCCTCAACGCGAGGCAGTCGGTGCACAAATTGCTCCAAGCTCTCAAGATCGTCCGCACAGCGGTATGCAATCTCAGCATGATGTTCAGAGGGGTCCCGATTGCGACGGACCTTGTCCTCAAGAGCTCCAGGAGCATCGCGAGTCACCGGACGGCGATTTATCAAGTCGTCATCATCCGCCACCGACTCTTCCCGACAAGAACGATGGGGTCCACTATCACGTGGAACGTCTTATGGGTCGAGAACCAAACTTAGTATCTTGTGGATTGGCGTGGATACCCAGACTCCGAGAACTCGTGGAAGTTTGAGGTGCCACTTTGGCAAGACTGCTTAGACGTCGTGAACACTTATGATCCATGGTTTTCCGCGTCTTCGTACTTCCCGCGCTTCTTGGTAGTAGCCGGGAAGCCGAAGGGCCATGAGCTGAGCTCAAGGTTTGGTCCTGAGCTGCTGTGGTCGCAGAATCACCTGTGTGAGAGACAAAAGAGCTCGCGGGAGCGTGATGATTTATTCATACGTTGCAGGGCGACAATACGGTGGAAGTCGGTGTTGCGCATTGAGTTTGGCAAGCTCAAACCTAAGATGGATATTCACGCGCACGTCCACCTCCTTGTGGCTCCGCTGTCAGCTGGACAGCCGAGAAAAGTTTCCGGTACCGCTGCATCCATCGCTTGAAGAGCTCTTCATCATCTGCAGCGGTTTAGCCATAGGCAAGCACCACAGGAATCGCTCGCAGAGTGGGTACAAGAGCGCCCCATCTTTGAACCCAAAGTCGAGCGCAGTACTTATACATTGAGATTTCTTGAGGTGCCAGTAAGCGAGCTCGGAGATCTTTTCGTTGGACAAACTAAGCTTGCGAAGTGGCCTGGGGTAGACGCTTAACGATTGAGCGATCGCGTCCTTCGCTCCTATAGCGGCATCCGCCCGAGCGGAAGCCGTATTCCACACGAGGGTCTAGGACTGGCCGTCGAGGCGATTAGTAACGATACCAATTCCTCTGGAAGCCGAGAGGTCGGGTAACGAACACGGTGTCCGCAAGGTTCAAGCTGGGCTCACGTTGCGCCGTTGGCGCACTCCATCCTCCTCGTCTTCCCATGCAAAGACATGAGTATCCGACTCGTAGTCGACTTTCTCCAAACCCTCAACAAGGAACCGTCGCCCGGGGCGGGCGCGGTGTGTGGCGCTCGTTTGCCGAGGGCTTGGGATGTGCTTCCGGTGAAGCTGCGGACGTACCGTCTGGTGATGCACTTCGTGTAGATGGAGAAGAATGGCTTTGACCGCGGGCGCCCTCGAAAACAGCTTGGCTGGGTGTCTTTCGTGTCATAGACACAGGGCTCACAGAGCGTGGGATGTACAAGGATGTTCTTAAGGACATAACGGTGTCTCAGACACGCGAACTCGTTCGAGGCAGCATATAAATGTGAACCGTAGGTGCTCACAATCTTGATGGGGGAGAGTGAACCGGGGTCTCACGTGCCCTGGTATGAAGATGTGGGTCACACAAGTCATTGTGACCGCACGATGATGTGGCTACACCCTAGAAGCTAGTACGTGGCTGGACTGCCAGTAGTTATGTATTTTAGTAAGGTTTTTTATTTAATTAGGAAACCTATACATTATGATATACGCGGCATTGTCGCAAACAAAACAAAGATATGCAGTTTACATTTTTGGTGGAAGAGATTTTTGCCTTGGGTTAAGGTTGTGTTTACAAGCGGAATGCGATCCGCTACACTCGCACTGGTTCTAGTAAAAAACGTAAGGTCATCGTCCTTAGCTTAGATTCCTCTAAGTGAAAGAGCTACGGCAGCCCCGCTGCAGCTGGGGTGCATAGCCAGAGTTTTCGTCGTTATGATTAATATATTCGGCAATTGAAAACCCAGCTAGATTTAAAGGCGCCGTGCAACTATGTTTGACGCATTCCCATTCAAAAGGATATCGTGCTGGGAAAGCACGATAGTTACATCCGTGTCTTATACGCGATAAAGACATGTTGAAGATTTCTTTATAGTGATGTTGCAATACCTTATAAGCGCAGCTTTGTCCCCACACCAAAAGCGCATTTTTCCAAATGGCTCATGACGCACATAATATACACAAGAAGGAAGTGCGTGACACGTAAGTTTTTCGACCTCCAGTCGATTTATGGCTCATTATATTCTGGTCAGGCAATCACTAAAGTGAGACTATATCTCGTATTGAGGTCTAAGGTCAGTAAGCTTTTCAAGACATCTTCCCGAAAGAAATGTGCTTTTTATGGTATTCTAGAAGCATTTAGCTCAACTCAGTAGGCAAACGCAGCTGTATGTAAGCCACGGTCTCTGGGATGATTCGTGCAAGGTAGATAGAAAGATACGGACAACTCTGAGCTGGTAGATCAAGATCTCAATTTTCGAAATCTATCCCTGATGATGTATCGAAGCAGGCAAAAGCTGCAATTGCAAGAAGATGGTCAAAAATGTTGCGAGCAGTGTGGTCATACTCAGATTCTTAGCGATAACTCATCCCTGTCCTATTCGCTGAGTTAGCGATAACTAGTGAAGTGTATACCGTACAAAGCTCCAGTTCCTGAATTCTTCGTTACTTGAATTGGCCTGACTTCATTAATCAATCAAAAAATGCATGGTACGCCAATAGCCCTTACCAGAATATAGTACGATGTCGTGGACACTCCCAACCAAGCGTGGCATAATGCGAGCTTGGTGAGTGAGATCTTAAACCCACTTTTTGTGATTTAGAAAAGCATGGTGAGTTGTTCACGCTTGCAATCAACTAAAAGAGGCTACAATTACGGTTTTATTGCCGACTTTGGGGTAGGGTTTACCGCAGAACAGTCTGCTTTGGCGAATTCTGTACAGCGCAGTCATTGAATACAATTTGTAGCTAATCGACAAATTGGTCCCCCCTATCACAGCAGCGACTACTCCAACGGGAGTGGATGATTTAATAAAGGTTGTTTATAGCGCCCACAGATACATTCGTATGGTGACGAAGCTGTTTAGGCCTCATCGTTGATTGTCTAGCAAAGCACAGAACCATATAAACAACCATATTGAGCGCTTGTGCGCGGTTCAAAGTTTATGCTTTTGGTAAGCTGCTCGCCAACGTATAAATTCATAGCTTCCCAGCACAGATTGGATCCTATATTTATAACTGCAATAATGGGAAATATGATCTTCAGGCAACCCCCGCCAAGATCAAGGCCATATCGGTCTGGTTGGTGCCACGACTTGCAAATATTGCTGGGCAACTTCTAACTGTAAATGATGCTGACCTCAATTATAGTATTAAAGGCGATGCTAGGCGGTTTAGAGGTGTAACATGAAAGGAGGCATCCGGGCACATCTTTGAAATTGTCAGTCACGCCTATTTCTTAGCTTTCGGGGATACTTCAGCTTTTCCCTCAGGCTGTAATATGCGTCACGCCAAAATTAACGCCATATGTGCGTAATTGCATTTGAGTCTCGCCAACTGAGATCTGTAAAGATAAAATATCTTGCTTCGACGACAATTACTACCATTTGTGATATATCTAGGTCATGCGCCACAAACACAGCAATGTTGTCTCTACTCAATATATCAAAATGTCATGATCGTTCACCTTTTTGCCACAAATATTGAGGCTCGGCCCGTCGACAACATGTGGTGGTGGGTGCGCTTCTTCGTCGCCCAGATTATGAATTATCACAGATCACAATAATGGTATCAAGTATCGTCAATGCTACTACAAATCAAACACAGTGAAGGGCTATCGCAAGCTTTAGAGGCACGGTTATCTAAACTCAGGTATCGCTTATTCAAGTTGTTTGAAGAGCCTTTACACCGTTTCGATTTGTCTCAAAGATCTGCTGTATTACTACACGGATTCGGTTCACACCAAACAAATTGCTGTACCTCAAATTGGTATGAAGCTTTTAAGATACGTACAGCTTAGTGATCACTATGCATTGGTGTCCAATCTCTACTAATGAGTACATGCTTACGTATACAAGAGTTTAAGTGTTGCATTTGTGCTTCGATGCCATCGCCAGCCATCCGGTCCCGGTAGAGTGCTGACTATCCAAAAGTATGCATGTTAATATCCCCGTTATTACGAAACCGGTCGTTTAATATTGCAAAGCCGATTGATCACATGGCTCATCTTGCTGCTGTCACTTACACCGCCACTTTTGCACACATAATCTTGACAAACCGATCGCCAATATAATTTGACGCTGGCGCTGGCAATTGTCTGGAATTTAAGATCCGCGTTACAGCTAGCTTTTGGGAGCTTTTGTGAGCTTTGGTCAAAGTGCTTGGCTCGAGACTACACTGAGCCACTTACAGGCCAGTGTTCAATCAGATCAAGTTCTCGCATTGTCTTCCAAAGAACTGGGCATCTTTAAATGGATTGTAGCACTGAGGTATAAGTGGCGATTTGCTAGTTTATGACTTCGCAACTGACACTGAAGCTTCACGAAATCATCTTCGAATTGACAAATGTTGCTAAGTGCCAGAAGTAGAGCTCAGAAGACAGCAGCGGTACTGAGCCGCGATTTCAGGCCGAACTTGGAAGTATCGATGGTATATCGCTGTCGCCCATATTTATCTCTTTTGAGACAGAAATTGTATATTTATTATCAAAATATCTGTCACAGGACAAAAAACTGCAGCTTTAACTGGTATATAGTCGTGAAAAAGTAGAAGCACTAGGATGTCGCACACTCATGAGCCAGAGCCGACGGAGTAAAAAGCGATTGTATGTCGCTAGTACAAGGGTCTGGCTCTGAAGGTACAAGATATGTCTCATCATTGTCACGATCTAACGTTGTCTCTGAGTCAGCATTACCTTGTTATACGCCCACTATGCGGAACGGTTAAGCTCCAAGGACTTGTGGTGGGGAAGATTATTCTCTCGCAAATTGATAGGTCAGAATAGTGCTAAGAAATGCAATCTCCTTACACTACTGTATGACCCAACAACTACTGTGTGGAACGGCGAAGCTCCTCGGGCTTGCTGTAAGAAAAACGTTAACTCATGAGCTGAGTGACCAGGTCATTAAATCTACACGACAGATCTTGAAGGGGGAACCGATCTCAGCAAGTGTCAAGATCAAATCATTGATTGTAGACATTCGTATTGTAGACACTCGCATTCACTGAGTGTGAGGAGTGGTGCAGCTATCCTCAAAGGGTTTACGAATAAATCTCTCCTTAGCTGACAAATAGCAGGATGTGGTGATAAGTATCCGATCATGCTTGTTGCATCGAATCAGAGAGCACTTATAAAATGAACTTGCTTCTTGTTTCTTGGAACCAAACATTGCGTCAGCGGTCGATAGCCCTTACCAAGAGAGCAGTACGACGTCATATGCGCTTTCTTACCTGCAAATTACGACCGAGTGAAACGAGTAGATAGTATATCTCATCACTTTGCGCCGAAATGCTGATAGCAAGTGGCGAACGATGCATGCTAAAATAATGCAGTCACTGTTTCGAAGCAAACACCGATCGCTCGAATGGGCGTGCTGGAGAACAGCATCAGATCAATGCGCTTAGCCTAATACACAATTGTCGTAATCTTTTACGATAGACAGCTTTCCTTCTCATTGTGATGCGTACCACGTGCGAAGTGCACCAGAAACGGCTAGTTATACCCAACACACTATCTAACGCACCAGCAACGTTTAAATCTATGGTGACACAGCTGCATCTATTCAGGTCACACCGTGGCTATACACAAATACGTTTTGACGATATATGCGGTATGGAATTAAGACGGATAGAGAACCATATCAACTTACTTGTTTGTAGTGCAAGCGTGTGTACGCTTAAGGCATAATTTTGTCTTCAAGATAGCTATGTGCGTCGCTAGCATCAATGCTATTCCCCTGCTAGCTGCATCATTGGGAGGTATGGTATGCAGATAGATCCTGCAACGATCAAGATCATTTGTTGATTAGTCTGGACAAAGAACCGCCCTGCGCACGACAAAATGGTGCTCGCAATGAGGTAGTTCTCGTTAGTTTCCGTATGCACCTGCCTGATTCCAAGTCTGTTATGATCTATGTATATCATACAAGGCTGCGCGCAGAAGAGACTCACCACACATCTCAGTGCGAATGGCCACATCATTATTTTTTGCTGCCGAAAATACCTTCGAGATAAGAATAAAACTAGATTGACTAAATGTGGTACAAGGTGCGTTCTTTCGTCGCCCGTACATACTGTCACATGTAGCGATGGTAACACCATCGATTGACGAGGCGATCGTATAGCGTCTGGGTAGACGCAAGACGTACGCTTACTTGTAAAGAGCACTATTCACAACAGTCTCTCAAACACAGCACACATGCTTGTGAGACGAAACGATTTGGAACCTTGAAGGTGAGTTTGCAACTAAAATAAAAGGAGTCAATGGCTCCTAGCTACATGCAAAACATCCCAAGGGCTCCTAGAAGTCTTACTGATAAAATCTGGGTTCCTATTATATAAATTAAGGGTGTACTGGGTCAAAACTTCAGCTTGAACTTATACAAGATCTAGGTGTAGAGCTTGAACTTCTGAAAAAACTTGAAGTCCAACTTTAGTGGATAGTATCCTGTAGATGTGACTGGCTTACGCCACCCACTTTGAAAGACAGAGACACGTCGATCTCGTCACCAGTATAGATCCTAAGTAGGAACCAGCATTCTGTATAGCAGAAAATGTTTGTGACTTTATAAAAATGTCACGTATGCTTTTGGGAGCACCATACTGTAATCTTCTTCTACAAATTCACACAATGCAATGGCTAGTGTAGCCCATTACACTACTTCACTTAAGCTGGCGTGGGACAGTCGAAACGGAGCGCCTTCGCAATTCATTGGGCGAGTTGAATGCGATACTCTCGGTATTATCGCAAGCATTGAATCCGTTGGGTGCAGTCTCTATGAAGGATAGCGATTGACCCGATCGCTGAGACGATACT